AGAGAGAGAGAGAGAGAGAGAGAGAGAGAGAGAGAGAGAGAGAGAGAGAGAGAGAGAGAGAGAGAGAGATGTGGCGTGTCGCATTGTTTTTTTTCTGTCGACTTGCGCGTGAAGGCTTGGCCGTATCGTTTCGCTTTTTTCCTTGTTTTTTTTCCTTCTAAATTTTGATTGAAAAATTAGATAATGGGCGAGCCCTCTTTCCTGGGAGGTGGTCGATGGAGAGCGGAAGATTAGTGGTGGCTTAAGGGGAACAGACAAATAGGCTCCTGCTGATGTGGAGGAAAGGAGGCTTAGTCGGGGTCGGGGTCGGGGTCGGTGCCGCTGCTGCTGCTGTGGTGCTATGTCGTGGCGGCTATGTCGGCCATAGCCAGTGTCGTCATCGTGGCGGCTATGTCGGCCATAGCCAGTGTCGTCATCGTGGCGGCTATGTCGGCCATAGCCAAGCTGAAGAGCTTGTGACGTGTATAGAAGAATAGGCAGCATGCTGAGGAAGGCCTCACTATCAGGATCTCTTCTTGCTACAGTTGGTCTGTGACCTTTCTGTTCTCCACGAAGTTACCTAGCTTCCTGATAGTCGGCCATAGCCAGTTCTTCACGACGACGACGACGAATCTAGTCTTTGTTGATGTGGAGTCGGGACGGCGAGTTCTTGCCGCGCGCGTGCGCACTACACACACACGCAGACACACACACAGAGAGAGAGAGAGAGAGAGAGAGAGAGAGAGAGAGAGAGAGAGAGAGAGAGAGAGAGAGAGGTGGGTGATCGGTGTTGTAGTGGTCAGGGTTGTGGGGAGTGGTTTTAGGGCATGGTCGCATGGGAATGGAATGGGGAAGAACGTGTCAGTGATTGTGGGCAAGTACATTGGGCAGCGCTTCGCGACTTAAGAGATGCACAAGGAACAAAAACTGTGGCGATGTATGTTTGTTTCCATGTTCTAGCGGCAGATTCATTCTCATTTTGCACATTTGGTATGTAGTGAAGCCAGGCCCATTGTTGTGTGAATGAGGAGTGGAGCTACCCTATAGTGTGACTGAACCTGTATGCTATGGACTACATTTCGTTCTTATTAATTGAAGATAAAATGGGACAATGCCAAGATGGATGACGTCAGCCAAAAGATGAGGCGTTCAGGAGGTTGTGGGTTAGAGGCCCCTCCTGCGGGGCTCTTCGTGCCAACCTACTGTGATACCCCTGATTGATACCCCTGATTGGTATTAATAGGGTCTATGATCAACAGGGGTGTGAGTGTGAGCCTGAGTGTGTTCTGTGTGTGGTAGTAGGGTCTATGACCGACAGGGGTGCGAGTGTCAGTGTGAGTGGGGGTTCTGTGTGGCATGTGGGAGAGTGTTGGCCACAGCCACTGCTGCTACTGGATGGGGGGGGGGAGAGAGGGGGAAGTAGATGGGAGGGGAGATGCAGCTACAGTGCTAGTGGTGCTGATAAAAGCAGGCACCCTTAGCACCTAGCGGGGGGCCTCCATCTATTGGTGGGGAGCATCACCTGCTGGAAAACGGGTCCAGCGTCCCATATACAGAATGAAATTGAAGGATATCAGGAGAGAGGATTGACCGACCCCTGCCAGCATTGATTGCTCTGGAATCCAGAGGATTGGCTGAGCAGGTAAAGGGAAAAAACAACCGGGGGGGGGGGGGGAGGCGGACCTCTTCTGCCCATATCAGGCCCCAAATACCTGCGTTTACACCCTAGTTCCTTCCTCCCCCACAGTCATATGAACCATGAACTCGTCCCATTGTTGTAGAATATTTACCCTACTCCCTGACCACTGCCTATTAGGGTGGGAATGCATCCCCTTAATTGTGAGGGGTAGCTATGCTTGCAGGGGTTGTTGGCCATAACCACTGCTGCTACTGGATGGGGGGTGAGGGAAGTAGATGGGAGGCGCAGCTACTTGCAAAATGCTCGAGTTCTCCTGTCTTACAATTGCTAGGTCTTCCGGCCCCTCAGACCACACACCGCCGGCCCCCACCCTACTCCCTGACCACCGCTCGAGTTCTCCTGTCTTACAATTGCTAGGTCTTCCGGCCCCTCAGACCACACACCGGCGGCCCCCACCCTACTCCCTGACCACCGCCTATGAGGGTGGGAATGCATCCCCTTAATTGTGAGAGGTAGCTATGCTTGCAGGGGTCCCCTGTATAGGCTTAGGAGTGGTGGTTGGCAGATATAGATAGTCAAAGGTCAACTGGCCTAGCTCAGTTGGTACAGCCCCGAACTGTTGAAATACAGACCGGGGTTCAAACTCCACTGGAAGCAAATGAATGTCATACGTACGATTCTGAATTACCTACCGTCTTCACCCGAATAGAACTCCCCGGTCATTATCGTCGCATCTGGACTGAAAGCTGGGCCATATGCAGCTATAATGACGTGGCATTGTATTCGGGTGAAGGCGGCAGGGCTGGTCCGTTTTTTGTTTTTTTTGGCAAGGCCGGGCAAGTGGCCCCGGGCCACTCTGGTAGCCTACCTTTTTTCTCCTTTTCCATTCCCCCCCCCCTCCCCCCCTCCCCCCCCCCCCTCCTTCCTCTCCCCCCCCCTCCTCTTTCAGGCGTTGCCGAGACGTCTTGTCTGTGGCCCCGCCACACAACCAGATGCTTTTCTTTTTCCCCCTCGGCTGTGGCCGAGACATCTCGGTTGTGGCCCCGCCACGTGATGGGGAGGGGGTGGAAAAAAAATAAATAAATAAAAGGGCCATGTGCCTGACTGAACTGCTAAAAAAGGCCAGCCCGAGTTTCAACTGCATTTTTTAACTCGGTCTGTGACTAAATATAAAAAATGCAGTTTGACATGTAATTACAAACTTTTTTTTTTTTTTGGGGGGGGGGGAACAATTACAAACTGTAACCATGACTGCGCCGTAGTTTTCTCAAAAAAAAAAACAAATTGACAGAAGAATATAGCTTAGTTGAAAAAAAGAAAAAGAAAAAACATCACGTCACAATTGAAAAAGAAGATAATTAAAGAAGAAGAAGAAGAAGAAGAAGAAGAAGAAGAAGAAGATAAGAAAGAAGCTCAGTGGTTAGAGCACCGGTTGGAAATGCGCATTGTGGTATGAGGTTGCGGGTTCAAATCTGCAGCCTCACACATGGACACACCGGCAGGGCGTTAGAATGACGCACGGCTGGACACACACCCCTTGGGCTGACGCATGGTAAGCTATTACAGACACTGCCTGCGCACTGCCCAGGGGACTGTCCATGGTGTTGTATGTTGGGTCCTGGCCTCTGAGGGGTTTGCCTGATGCAGTTAGCAGTCTAATGAGGATGCAGGTACGGGTTTGTGGTTAGACTGCTCATGTGTGTTGGTTACCTTAGGCTCTGTTTTTGGGGGGGCAAGTACCTGAGGTGGGATGGGTCCCGTTTGGGGGGAGGGTTGGCTTGGGACAAGCTCTGCTGGAGGATATCGGTGGAAAACCTACGGTAGGGGATTGTCTTAAGGGATCCCGGAAGGAGGGGTGTTAGTAGACAGACTCTGGTGGAGGAAATCGTTGGGGAACCTGCAGTAGGGGCTGTCTGAGGGGGATCCTCCAAGATAGGATGGTCTGGGTCCCATAAATTAGTTGCTGACTGTAGATAGGTACCTGTCGTGGGTCCAGAAACCGACCTCTACAACACCCTGGACAAATCATGTCACAATCCCCATGGAAGACGTCACGGCTTGCGATTGCCCTTTCTTTGGGGCTGGTAGATACCACGTACAGTCAGGTTTGTGATTGCCCTTTCTTTGGGGCTGTTTTTTTTTTTTTTTTTTCGACTTTGGGCCTCACCACACCATGCTTGGAATGTGAGAAGGACAAAAATGTGGTGGGTGCATCTGGCCATGTTCTAGAGGGAAGTTCATTCTGATTTTGCACATTTGGAGATGGTAGAAAACCGCACGGGCTTGTCGTGAGCTCTACTTTTTGTCTTTTTTTCATGTCTGCTGTAAATCGCTGTGATTTGTGCTTGCTGCTGTGGATAGCAGCGTTTTGTTCCCCTTCTGAGTAAGGCCCTGGTTGAAGCTGTCAGCCGTGGTCGCT